GTGGCAAATATTTTTTAGTAGTCTCTTTACGACAGTAATAACTCTCATATGCTGGAAGAGATGCAAGGTGCTAATGCACCAAAGCCATTCTGTCTTTGGATATTTTATTTCCAAGGATGTGCTTGCCTCGTTCATCTGGGATGGTTGTTGAAGCATGGAAAGCCTTTTTTGTTGGACAATGGTCCATACAAACTTTACTGTCTCGCCAAATATTGTGAGAAAACAGCTCTTACAAACATCGATCCTTTGGCCCTGAATCGGAATATTGTAATGAACTAATGCTGTTCTTTTCTTCTGAGTTTTAGACGTATTTTGTCGCGTCCTTTAACCCTGGTTCAGATTATCAGCTTTACTTAAGAGACCGCACAGATAGGCTGCCCTTCGGTAACGTGTCTTTAAATTCGAATAGGCAGTGAAAATATTTTTTTTGATTTTCAAGTGAAATTTTCCCACTGCACTTTTTTCTGCCAGAAGGCAGTGGTAGCTAAATTCGGCCCAGCAACGTTCATACCTTGCCCCGTAAAATACACTAATCCTTGATTTCGAGATAACTTTCTTTTTTCTCTTTCTTCTCTAGTATCACCTTTTGAGTCTCTCTTTTTCTTGGGGTTGATTTTCCTCTACATTTATTACATCATTGACGATCTGAGAAAGAAAGACTTAAGCACAAAAGTCAACTCCAACAATACGTAACCTTTGCATTGCACCAAGCACATGTAGCACACTCTCACCAAGGTTGAATTAATCTATGCACATGTCATTGAGGACAGGGTTGCCAGAGTAGTAGTGTCTTAAACAAGGACGGACAAAAGATACCAAACCAAACCAAAATGTACTGTTATTAACTGGAAACATGACATCCAGGAAGTGTTTGGTGAATTCAAATACTGTAAAGGAGGTAACAAGTCCACTTATTTCCTTTTGCACAAATGAAGTTTTTCATATTATTTAACTTATTACGTTCTACACGTAAAAAAATGTAGCCTTTCAGTGGTAGTACACTTGTTTCTTTTTGCACAGAGTTAGGCATTGGTAAACCAATTACTGTCACATGAGAAAAAAAAATCCGAAAAATGACTTGTTACCTTTTGCACTGAGGCCGTCCATTTTACGGTTGAAAACCTTTTTGGAAATAATTGGAGAAACTTTGCGACTTGATCCATTATTACTCGTGAAATATTTGATGAAAAAAAAATGGATTAAAAAACGGAGTATGACAAAATTGTAATTTTAGTTATAAAAAATAATAAATAAAAAACTTAAAAATAATAAATAAAAAACTTATTACAGTGCTCAATAATACTCCCACAGCTTAAGTGACATTAGTTTTAATCATCATAGACCAGTTCGTCTATGTCGACTTCTTCACCCAGTTGCTGGATTCATATCAAGACAGTAAAAAATGGAAAATCTTCATTCAGCGTAGGTTTGTACTTCAAAACCCAAGGATCTTCTCTCTCGTACCTTATCCATCTCATTTCTAACCACTTCACAGATGCTCCATCACTATCTTTTTTTTTGTATTTATAAGCACATGTTCTTTGTCGACACGATGTCGCTCCTTTTTATGTTAGTTATTTCAAAAGGCATTATCAATTTTGAAGTTTTTATTACATCAGTTCAGTCGTCTGGCCCAAAGATGTGAGAAGATTTTCTGGCAGCCTTCTCAATAACCCCAAAATCTCGATCGTTTGGCAATATGGAGTGGCCAGGGCCAGATACAAGAAACTTGTGATCTATCGTTCTTATGTTGATGTAAGGATCTTCAAATTTAGCTTTAAACTTTAAAATTTCTCTTTTGTCCTGTACATAAATCTGAATGAATAGAGAGTTACGTGGTTATGATTTTTAGTATGTTTTCTCAGGTACATGATCAATATTGAAGATATTTTTTGAGATCCTCTACCACCATCTTTTCATCCCACACATACATAAAACCGTTGTTTTTGTTGAAGGAATGAATTCCTAGATTTATGACATACATATTTTTTTGTAATACGCTATGGATGTAGACAATTTCGGGTATGACAGTGCTCTTTAGAGGCCAAAAGTAGCACCATAGTGTTCATCTGATTTAGTTGTAAACATAATGATGATAATATTGTTTTTTTTCTGGCTTCGTTGTTGCATTTTGTTACATACAGGTCATACATTTTTCTGATACTTAAATCAGGATTAAGATACTTTCTTTCAGGGTTCTTTGTTCTGTTACAATGAATGCCGTCATTTGAATCCATTTTTAATCATAAACGATCACGATAAATACATTGAGCACAATCTGACTAGTCAACCATAGATTAAATATATATATAAGTAGCTAGTCAACTGCCTGATCCACTCTGTCCTGAAATAATATGACACATTGTTCAGAGACATGGGAAACTAACGCCATCTGTTTATTATTGCGGGAACTTTGGACCTGGTTTGTTTTAGCACCGAAAAGATTTCTATTTGTAGAATATAGATACACGGCTAACTTAATTTTCGTAAAAAGTGGACAATCCACTATGGTTCTGAATTTCTTAATTAGCTAATCAGAATAAAGTTGTTATTCCTTAGGTATACTTGTTACTGTACGGACGTACAATTTATTTTTTATGACTAATATGCACTATAAGTGCAGAATTAAATAATAAACTGACTAAATCAAGAGGAGCTAAGGAGGTGAGTAAGAGCAAACACTTTTGTGTTAGTGGTTCCTGTTGCGTCAATATTCCATACACAGATTATAAGACAAGAATTCCATATATGAGAATTTAATATTTGAAAAGAACTTTATAGAAAAATATAAAGCCCAGTGCATCTGTGGACGAAAAATTGGTGATAAGCGAAAAATCGGCCATTGTTTGTATATATGTACGAAATATAAAATTAGCTCGTTTAAAAATTAAAAAAGAAATGTATATGGTTGTAAATATAACAACAATCAATTGGCACAACTCAGCACAAAGAATTTATTTAAATAACCACTTACCTTTTATTGTAAATATCGTTGCAAAAAATGTCTGCATTCGTGACAGGAGCTGAAGAAATGTGTGGAGTAGAATACGTGAAAATAGCCAAAATGTCGAGTCCCTACATATCACAGCAATAAAAATCTAAACGACTAAACAATAGTTTTAATGGCAATATAACTTGATTGATAGCGTCAATCGTTTCAGAGTTAAAATTTAGTTAGACACAAAAATGACAGTTAAAATTTTGGCGAGAGCGTTTTTGACGGTCTAAATTTTGGCGAATAATAAAATTTTACAAATTCTGAAAAACTGTCGCTACTTATACTTATACTACGACGTCACGACTTATGCGCAATATCTTATCTTCTTAGTCTTGGTATCATGGTAATACCGTTGATTAAATAACCCACAATCAACGGTAATACACTAACGTTGGTGGCTACATCAAGTTAGTGTTGATCAAATTTTAAAAAATTAAACTAGCGCTTTCGCCAAAACTTTAACTGCCAAAAACGCTCTCACCAAGATTGTAACTGTCATTTTTGTGGAATTTAATATTTTATCCTAAAACTCGAGAGAATAACTCCAGAATTATTTGTTAAATAACAGTAAATGTGTTTTATGTTAGGACATTATTAAGTAGAGGTGTGCTTATTAGTTTTTTTAGACGAACTAGTTCAACAGAACTATTTCACAAAATGAACTAGTTCAGTGAACTAGTTCGCGAAAGAACTATTTGTAGGACCGACATCGAAATCCAACCCTAACAGAACTGGTTGCTAGATGTCTCGTCTCAATCATCACACAAGCTCGGCGCTGGCCGCCCGTTACTTCGGTTTTCAGACAGTCTTTCACTAGTTCACTACCGTACAAGTAGTTCGGAACTATTTCTTTCGATCGTATGTTTAGGTTTAAATTATTATATGATTAGTTAGTGTTTATTTGCAAAAAATTATTAAGATTTGTTTTTTATTAACCGTTTTAAATATAAATATGGTTCAAGTATTATTTATATTTATATTTACGTATATTTAAACTCATAGGTATTTATAATTAGGTTATTTCTAAAAGAAATATTTTAGAAATAAAAGAGAAAGAAAAGAATCTAGCGCAAACTAGAATATCTTGGCCATGCTATGAGGAATGAACAGAGATACGGCTTGTTGCAACTCATTCTTCAGGGCAAGGTATTTGGAAAGAGAGGACCAGGGAGAAGAAGAATATCTTGGATTCAAAACCTGAGAAAGTGGTTTAATACATCGAAAACCGGACTATTCAGAATAGCAGCAAGCAAAGTTAGGATAGCCATGTTGATCGCCAACATCGGGAACGGATAGGCACCGTAAGAAGAAGAAGATTTCTAAAAAAACCTTTACAAAAAAATCAGTAATTTTCTAGGAACATTAAATAACACATTTTCATTTTCACTTTTACATAAAATTATATTTTATGTAAATGCCTCAATCATTTTTAACCACAACTAAAATTTTTATTTCAAAATTACAATACAAGAAACAACACAGCATGGCAACATCCAAGCCAATACATGGGCATAAGATCTAAACCATTATGACATTAAGATAATACCTTGGTATTGTCACATTCATAAGAATTATAAATCTGTTATCTGAGGCTAATTGACATTTTTTTAAAACTAGTTAGTCCATCCATTCACAAAATAATAAATATATGTTCTAATTCATTCATTCATTATTTTCTTCTTTAGAAGTCGAGACATAATTTATAATGCAAATCGTTCGCAGTGAACTAGTTCTATGAAAATTAATGAACTAGTTCAATTAGTTCAGTTGAAAGAATCGTTCATTAAAACTATTTCGATGGTGAACTACACATCCCTATTATTAAGGCTAAATATAGCAATATTTGTTATTAAAGTCGACTTTTTGTTTTTCTTTTGGTAATTACATTGTTTTTTTAATATTTGTATATGATATTTTTGGAATTGAAAAAGGCTTGAAAAAATCTTGCTTTAGTTTTGCGGTTCATTATATTTAGTACAAAAATTATATTCTACAAACGAATTTTTTTTTAATAATCACATGTGTCATTTACGAAATCAACAATGTGTTAATTGATTTATTATTTCGTGTTGTTCCATTTCAGCTTTTTGTAAGGAGTTAAATTGAATCTTTAGACGTTCCAATTCCATGGTTTTTTCAGAAATAAGAGCCTAAAACATGTATTGATAAAAATTAAAGAAAGATATCTACTATGTATACAAGGTTACAATTATTTTTTAGATTATTTAGTTAGCCTTTCAGTACTAAGTGCATGAGTCTTTTTATTCTTTAGATGATAATATTAACACCATTCATAAGAGAGGAAAAAAGCGCTAGGAATTTTAAATTTCAAAAATGAAATTTGTTTTTTAAAAAATATTTTTATTTCTAAGCTACAAATAAATACATCTAAACTGAACAAGACCAAGAATAATAATGAATTTACAATGCGAATAATTAAAGAAACAATATGATAACTTCTAGGGGAAACTGCAGAGTAAGCTGCAGGTGTTGGTTGCGATTCTGCCAGGTCCGGACTTTCGTACCATGTAACTCCTCCATCCTTAAGAGGAAAAAATAACGGAGGTATTTTTGGATTCCAAATTTTGGAGACATCTTTCTTCCAATGGAATTTCGTCAGGAACCTTCTTATTTTTGCAATACTTTCGGTATCTGGTGATGATGTAAATTATAACGATTAGTATTAATATAGATAAGATGACTGAACCGGTGCTGATAAAGGGTGTAGTTGGAAAGCCAATTTCTTCTACTGGTGAAAGATTTCTGGTAATTCTGTTAATTTCGTATAGACCTTCCATATCGATTTTGCTCAAATTGGTTACTTGATATTTTACCTTTTCGGTCGAGAAATTTTCTAGTTTTGGTAATATTATGATTTTTCCGGATTGGATTCGTGGATTGTTTGAAAATTTTAAGGTTCCAACTTCTATTTCACATTTTGGTGGGATTTCTATTAACGAAGGATCTTTTATTTCCAAAAACGAATTGGACTCACATTTTGAGATTAATTTGACAGTACTGGATGGGATTATTAAGATCTGGTTCTCCATGACGTGCTCGATAATGGGTTCTTGTAGATTTATTTCAGTGGCGTAGCATTTCTCTGGGTTACGTCCATCAATTAATTTATAGGTGCAGGTATCTATTTGGGTGTAGTCCTGTTGGCAGTAGTATCTGGTTTCGAGGATGGGACATTCTTCTTTTATCGATAGTGATTTTTCTCCTTTTGCCAAGTAGGGATATAAAGGAATATATGTTTGATGATTTTGTATTACGGGGTAAACATGGAAAAAATCGTAATTTTCTGATTTGAATATAGGAACATGGATAGCGAATATAAGCTTGGATTCGTAAAAGGTTACTTGGGTACTGAGAAACAGATAGTATGTTAGGGCATTGTTAAATTTTGCGATTTGTTCTTCTTTGTATATATGTGATAAATATGACATCATTTTTGAAATTTCTTGGGTAGATATTATTGAATTATGAAGAGTATTTAATTTAGAGAAAACTATCGAATTTTCAATATTGTCAATAAATGTTATTAAATTTTGGCAATCAAGATTAATCTGGTAAAGAATACTTTGATAAGTTATGTAATTATTCAAAGTGATTATTTTGGTTTCTAATGAATATTTAAATTTTTCTATATTGTCTTACAATTTTTGTTGATTTTGCCACAAGGTTGATAAAGATTGATTATAATGATTAACAAGCTTTTTGTACAAAGTTGACTGAAGGTTAAGTTCATGAATTACATTTTTCTGATTTAGTTGTAAAATATTAATTGGTTAGGAGTTAATTCTTTATTTTCTTCTCTAAGACAGCGAAAGCATTCTATTAGTGTAGAATGAAACCTTTCTACGGGGGAGTTGGAATTACTATTTTTAGAAGTTGTGAAATGTAGTTCTATATGGTGAAGTTTACAAAAATCTATAAGGTCATTATTTTTAAATTCTGTGCCACAGTCGGCAGTAATTTTATAAGGTAAACCGTGGTGGCTTACGAAGAGAAGTAAAATTTTCCACTACGGAGGTGCCATTGACACTAGGTAAAGGATATGCTTGGGCATATCTCGAAAATGAATCTATAATCGTTAAATATGATTGGTTAGAAATTTTAAAGACATCTACATGAATATGTTCAAAGGGTTTTGATGCAGTGGGAGTTAGACTAAATTTTATAATTGGAGGATTTCTATCGTATTTATTTTTAAGACAAGTTTCGCAATTATTTATAAATTGTTCGATATCTTCTGCCATTTTTGGCCAATAGTAACGTGATCCTAAGGACATTTTTACTTCGTTTATACCGCGATGTCCTTTTTTGTGTATGTGATAATACTCTAATGTTTCTTTCTGTTCCCGAGTATCTATTATGTCAGTTAAAAATTTTGTAGAATGTACAAACTTAAAAGCGGAATTTTTAAAATAATTCTGAACTATTACTACAAATGTTTCTGGTAAAATATTTTCTTTAAAGTACAAAGCATAAGTCTTTTTTGGGATCTATATATTCTTTTACAAATTTAAAAATACTTTCTTCAATATTTCTTTGGGGTAAAGTAACATAAAATCTGTTATTATCAAATATTTTTTCATTTTTGCATTTTATTTTATTTATTTCTCCAAATGTTAATATAATTTGATTTTTATAAGTATTTAGGGCCTTTTCGGTTATGGGTATACCTAGAATGGGATTTTCTAAAGAGGTATGACAGGTTTCTAAGTCTGAGTCGTTTCTTTCGGGATTTTCGAAAGGGGGTCGAACTTGTATGTCCGAAATAATATTTATTTTACTAGTTAATCCATCATTTAGTAAGGAGTCAAGGTCTCCTTCTGAAAGTTGCGGTAAGTCGTCAAGGTTGCGTAGTTCATTATCTATTATTTCATTTATGTCACCTAAATTAACGTCCATCGATTCCGTTTCGAGAGCATTTAAATCGGAATCTATTTTAATTCTAGAAAGCGCGTCGGCTACTTTATTATTTTTCCCTTTTAAATATTGGATATCATAATCAAATTCTTCGAGCTTAAGTCTCCACCGTACTAAGCGAGAGTTTGGTTCTTTAAGTGAAAATAACCACTGAAGGGGTTTATGATCAGTTAAAATTTGGAATCTGCGACCGAAGAGATATGGTCGAAAATATTTGCAACCGTATACAATCGCTAATAATTCTTTCTCTATAGTGGAATAATTAATTTCGGCTGAATTTAAAGTACGTGAGGCGTAACATATAGGGTGGTTATCTTGCATGAGAACGCTGCCAATTGCATAATTAGAAGCATCAGTTATTAATTGAAAATTTTTGTTAAAGTCGGGATAAGCTAAAATAGGTTCTGAAGTCAAAAGATTTTTACAAATATTAAAACAGTCTAAGAATTCTTTGTTGTGGATAACTTTCTGATCCTTTTTTAAACACATGGTCATAGGTTTAGTTATAGCTGCGAAGTTTTTAATGAATTTTCTATAGTATCCTAACAAACCTAAAAATGATTTTATTTCTTTCTGCGTACGAGGGATTGGAAAATTTTTAATCGCTCTAATCTTTTTTGGATTAGGCTTAACTCCGTCTGGGGTCACTATATGCCCTAAAAATTCAACTTCCTTTCTAAGGAATTCGCATTTGTCAATTTGTATTTTTAATTGTGCGTCTTTTAATTTTGCAAACACCAATTTTAAGTTTTGAATGTGCTCTTGGAGGCTTGTGCTAAAAATAATTATATCGTCCATATATACCATACAGATTTTGTTTTGTAAATCCTTTAATATTTCATCCATTACCCTTTGGAAGGTGGATGGTGCGTTTTTTAAGCCAAAAGGCATTCTTAAAAATTCGTAGTGTCCATTATTGACACTAAATGCTGTTTTTTCTATGGAGCAGGGGCTCATCTCGATTTGATGAAAGCCGCTAGCTAAGTCGAGAGTAGTAAAATATTGTGCTCGTCCTAATTTGTCCAATATTTCGGTAATATTGGGTATCGGATATCGATCACTAATGGTTTTATCATTAAGTTTCCTATAATCTATAACACAGCGAAATTTTTGTTGATTGGAAGAATCGAGTTTCTTCTTTACTATCCAAAGTGGGGAACCCCAGGGACTATTACTGGCTCTAATAATTCCGTCGTCTAACATTTTGTCAATTTGCTTTTTAATTTCTTCCTTGTGAACATAAGGATATCTGTACGACTTTACATGTACAGGTTCCTCGTCGGTTGTTTTAATAACATGTTTTACTTTTGACGTAAATGTAAGTGGGTCGCCTGGTTTCAAAAATATGTCTTTATATTGCGAACATAATTTAATAATTTCCGATTTTTCTTCCGTGTTCATATGATCCGTTCTAATAAGATTTTGGATTTGCATTTTATCTATTTTATAATTATTTTGTCTATTAGAAAATTCAAATTTATAACATTGATAAACGTTAGAATCGTATGGATAAGCGTTTATGGGTTTTAATAAGGTTATAGATAAATTTTTATTAGTTTCATTGACAAATTCTACTAAAGCTAAACCATCATTTGCTACAGTTAGCATTTCTGGTACATACATATCACCTAAAACTATCTTATCGATTAATATTTCACCGTTCGGTACGGACACAGGGACTTCTTTTTTAATCTTTTCATAAGGGCCAACAGATATTTCAAACTTTATGTCTGATGGTTTTCTAAATTTAATAGGAATTATTGTGTCTCTGCTAACGAGACATTTATTATTAAAATCAATGTTAAACTTCATGGATAATAGGTCATTAACACCGACCAAGCCATCATAAAACTCATGAAAGTCATATAATATGTAGTGCAGTATATTGTTTCGATTAAATTCTTGGAACGCCGGTATGGCTGCTTGGTATTTGATATTTTTCGTGCCAAGAGACGTAGAAATTGAAACGTTTGAAGGATATATGCAATCTGAATAAAATTGTTCAGCAATACTGGGTTTTAAGATTGATTTCGTACTACCAGTATCAATTAATAATTTTAATGGGGGGTTAGAAATAGTGATGTAAGGTAAAGGGTTATTAGAGGTTAGATTTAATTCGATTAAGTTATTTGGTTTTCTGAGGCGGTTTCTTGAAAATTCTGAGGAAAATAATCTAAATCTACTTGTTCACCGGAATGGATATCTGCGTCGACGTCGCTATGCGTCTGTTCGCATTCTTGTCTATCGTAACCATTATTATATAATTCTTCAACTATAATATTCGGCTTTTGCCCATTATTTTGAAAATAGTTTCTATTAAAATTATTTGTTCTTCTGTTAGACGTTGAAGGGAATCTAGAATTTGTAGAAATATTCATCGGTTCCGGCTTTGGGACGCGATGTTGGGGAGTTCGATTTGGTCTGAAAACATTCGTATTTCGGGAAGGTCCAAAGACTTCTGAATTAGTTGGGAGTCTTTTAGGGGGTAACTGTTGAGGCTGTACATTAATAGGTTGGCGGGGCCATTGGAAATTTTGGGGATAATTATTATTTGTATTAAAGTTTGGATTTTGGGGAATAGAAGAATTTGTTTGAAAATATTGATTATTCATGGGATTATAAAATTGCCCGTTTGGATTAGGGAAATTCCGATTTCTGAAATTGCCTTTATTTTGGTGTGACTTATTGTCATTATTACTTGAATAAAATTTCTCGAAATTCTCAAATTCATTTACATAAGCTATGGCGTGTTCTAAAGAAGCTGGTGCTTTTAAATGCATATTATTTTTTAATGTGCCGGTACAACCCGCAATAAAAGTATTTAGTGCTGTATTTTCGCAAAATTGTATGAAAACAGTTTTTTGATTTACATCAAGACTAGTATCATTGCTAATTCTTTGTGATACTATATTACTTGCTAACAATTGTAATCTATTTCCAAATTCTATTAAATTTTCATTTCTTTGTGGCCTAGTTCTAGTAAGTTCTTGTATTAAGGATTGTAAATTACGTTTATCAGAAAAACATTGTATAAGTGCGGCTTTTAAAAGTGCCCAATTATTTAATTCTACCCTATTTCCTACCATAAGCTCAGCTTTTCCTATAAGTTTTCCTTGAATACATTCAAAAATGTGATCATTTAATTCTTGGTCATTATATGCTCTATATGTAATAATTAAGTTATCGCAAAGATAAATAAATTTATTTAAAGTATTAGTATCTCCATCATAAGGTCTAATATTTGAAATTTTTGACTTAAATAGTTCCCAATTAATGGGACGCGTTGCCGTCGCTTGATTAGCTTGAACAGTTTGGTTAGTTGCCATTTTAATATTTTTATTATCTTTATTTTTCCTACTTTTAAAGTTAATCTTTAGATTTTTAAGAGATTCTACCAAGGAATCAGCATTAATCATAAAATGAAAATATCGTCTAATAAACAATGTCTTAACAAGCTATCTTCCAAATTTATGAAAAATAAAAGGAAGGCAAGAAGGAACTTGGCACTCACCTCGATAGTCTTTGCCAACTACTTCTCCAGATTCGTCCACCCAAATGAAGGACTGCTGTCACTGAAGGGCTGCTTTCCAATGGGGGCTGCTTTCCACTAAACGGAATGTTCTTTGGATTTGCACTTAAGGCGTTGAAACACCAAAGTCCCGAAAAAGTCTGCTTTCCGATAGATACGAAATTCACAGTTTCGCGACTCGCACAAATCCTACTGACTGCGCCAATTTTAAATTTCAAAAATGAAATTTGTTTTTTAAAAAATATTTTTATTTCTAAGCTACAAATAAATACATCTAAACTGAACAAGACCAAGAATAATAATGAATTTACAATGCGAATAATTAAAGAAACAATATGATAACTTCTAGGGGAAACTGCAGAGTAAGCTGCAGGTGTTGGTTGCGATTCTGCCAGGTCCGGACTTTCGTACCATGTAACTTAGGTTACCTATAGTCACACTCAATTTGTAAATGCATGATACATAGCACATTTTTATGATGGAAGATTATAACGGTCTTTATACAGGACTGTTGAAAGCAGAAAAATTATAAATATTGAAATCTTTTTAAAAATAAAATAGACGGTTTGGATTTGATTTCATTACAGCGTATCTATCACCATTTGTTGATATAAATATTTCTGCCTTTTAGCTTCATCAGAGCGAACTCATGGCAATCTACGAGGCCAAAAGGCAGAAATAATCATATCAGCGAATGGTGGTACGCTGTAACGAAATCAAACCTAAATCGTCTATTTGCTTTTTATTATTTTTTACTACTTTAGTCTAGTATGGAATTAGGAAATCGTTTTCATGAAAGTGTTTATGTCTAAGACAAATTGGCATGACGTGGATACAATTATTAATCCCGATTCCAGTGAATTTGTCGTCTGCTTGCTTTGCAACGTTTAGAAAGAACAAATTTAGGCTGAATCCTGAATTCGATTTCCAATTGTGGACCGATTGAGACCATAAGCAGAACAAATAGTTGGGAGATATCAATGTGGTTTCTGTAAAGACTAGTGTATTTAATATAGACACAAATCATCTTTTCATTGATTTTGAGAGTGTCTATGATAGCATCCATCGAGAATTTATGATTCATGCACTGAAAAAGTTTAATATTCCAAGGGGGTCAAAGGCGATGACATATAGCGCAGAAGATATAATTTTGAACTATACACAGCATACAATGAACAAGAGGTCATAACATCCATAAAGATCGGACGTCTGCGCTGCATGAGCGATGTTGAACGGATGTTGGAGACTGAAACACCAAAACATATAATGAGGCAAACACCAGTAGGGAGAAGGTCAAAGAGAAGACCCAAACTTAGATACATGGAACAAGTGAAACAAGATCTGAAAACACGTAAGATCATCAACTGGAAAAACAAAGGAACAGAACAGAATGGCGGAAAATCCTAGAACAAGCCAGGACCCAGAAAGGGTTGTCGAGCTACTGATAATGATGATCGAGATATAGGCTTAGTCAGTCAATAATTCGAATCCTTATTGTATTAAAAGTATTATGGCAAGGCATCAGAAAACTATAACAATAATCGTCATGATCTATATAACAAATTGATTGAGTAGTATAAATCTTGGTAAATTATCAGTTTTGGATATTATTTTTTATGTTAATTCATTCTTAATTAATATCTACTAATATTTGTATGCAGTAGTGCAGAACTTTTTTAGAGCGGCAGTCAACAGACCTCCACATAGCCATGATGATTTCCAATCTTCGATAGAAGATGGAACTTAAAGAAGAAGAAGAATATTTTTATTTTAATAACAAGTTAATAAGATATAAAAGTAGGAAGATACTCATAAATTATTTTATTACCTGTAATTGCTCCTGGTTATTTTCCTTCTGTTTCTCCATACTTTGCAAAATATTTCTAGCTCCTATTGCTTTCATTTTTTCCTTTTCTATGGTGTCCCCCAACTGCTGAACAAGATTAATGTATTTTGTAGAAATTCTTTGAAACTCATCTATCTCTAAAACAAATATGAAAATTCTATTAAGGGGACAGTCTCATGCGATTAAAAAAAAAGACACATTTTAAAATTAAAACAGAAAAAAAACTATAATATTTATTAACATAATTCCTTTTGGAGATGATTAAGTACATAAAAAAAATTTTAATAGCGATTTTAACTTCATTGGTGTCCTGTAGATGGCGTGTAGTAAAAAGTGCGTTTTTGGTGGTATTGTCTATTCGCTTAGCTAGGGCATATTTTGACAGACTCATTGTCGGAAACCTACAACACAACAATTCCTACTTCTCAGTATTAATAGCTCAAGTATACTACTATTGCAGACTTCTTTCTTTGAAAAAAAGAAGAATTATTCTAAATAATGGAAGTGTATACTAAACCCATCAAATTTTACCTGTATAAATATAATATTTGAATTGTTACAATTTAAAATATTGTAGTAAATATTTGTATTATTCGCGTTGTTTATTTAATTTAATATAGTTTTATTATCTTTGTTTAATTCTTTTGTTAGTTCTATTCAGTTAATTAGTTAGTTATATTTTAAATTTTATTATTATGGATAGTCAAAGTTTTCCATTTGTTCCATCAGCTAATGCGTTGGTAAGTTTTTCTTAATAAATATGATAAAATGTTTTTTAAAAGGTAATATTTTTAGATTAGTTGTTTCTAATTTAATATTAACTTGTTTATACTTACATGGAGGTTTTTGTTGTTTGTTTGGGTTTATATGACTGCAGACTGCGGCCAGGACACTGAATTCATTCACCATATGTGGAAGATTTTAACATCCTCAAATGCTAATGAGCAAAAATTACTATTGAACCACGCATTTGCCTAGTCAAATTACTAATATTTGCTTTTAGCATATGGAAGTACACTTATTTTGTAAGATAATAAAACAACAGTTTATGTTAATGCTATCCAATAAACTGTTAATCTTTAATCATTGATTCCATCCTGGTCACAACATAAGGAACTTGCTGTGTCTTATTTAACCTCACTTTAACTTTTTAATTTTGTAGAATTTATTCCCACTTTTTTTATTTTGTACAATAAATACTTTTATTATTTGTTATCAATACATTATACGGTGTAAATAAATAAATATTGATTGTCGGCAAAGTTCTATTTTATTTACTTTTGTTTACATTAATATTGACTAAGAGCACGTATGCTTGGTTGTATAGTACTTTCCAGCCACTTCGAGTCTGTCAAAAAGTAACTAACTTCGCAAAAAAATAATTACTAAAATCACTAGACAGTTCGGACTGGGAATAGCGAACCGGGTATAAGACACTTTGTGGGTCATCTGTAACAGATATTCAAAAAAATTCAAAATGGGTTGTATTCGTGAGACTCAAAACTAGATGATAAACCTTTAAAATATGCAAATTGTATTATTTTGAAGAGTTTATACGAATTTTTTCAAAAAAGTCGAAAAATCGCTATATTTTTCGGTGGATTTACCCATATATAATAAAAGGGGGGGTGGTTTTTAATATTTTAAAGGTTTATCATCTAGTATTTTGTATGGACATTCGAAAAATTTTTGGTTTTTTAAAATCGGTTGAGAAGGTTCGGAGAAAAGTGTCTGACCAGTTTGAAAATGTTACTTTTGAGAAAAAAGCATTTTTTTTACATAATTTTCGTGAATAATAGGCTGATAACTTTATACTCACGTTTAATCGGTCATTCCTGGTGAATCTTGAGGACCCTCTTCATCCAACAGTTGTTGTAAATGGCTTTGTAAAGCTGTAAATGCAATACAACGTCGCGATGTTTTATAATTAATTCATTTGTTCATGTTTGACTGGAGTCTCAATTCACGCCGCGATGCTGCCAGTGTAAGTGTAAAAACGAAACACACCTAGATCGCATGTCAATTCAACGAAAACGTACTTATTTATAAATGTAGATATGAAAATATTTTATAACTAAAAAAATGGTTATGTTTTATTGCCAAAACGGCTTGAAAAAAAAGTTGATTTCTAAAATAAAAAATATAAAGGAATTTTAAAAATAAAATAATTATATTACACTCTTTTTAATTTGAAATTATAAACAATATTTGGAATAATAAATGTATTTAAATATAAATTTTATAACTCAAATAATACCTACCTAATGAACACAAACAAAATTGATGTTAATAAAACATTATTTATTATCTGCACAAAACCGGACTTTCAGGAAAATCGGTAGACGGAGCAACACTGTCGGCGTGCCATACACGCTACTATCGGCGTGCCATATACGCTACTATAAACCGCTAAGGAGAAGTAATCCAGTGGAACAAATAAATTTACACTGGTTAATTGCAACGCAGAGGATCTTAGTATTTGTAAAAAAATCCCACGTTCCGGATTTAAAATTCCAAATCCAAATGTGTATAGTAAACGCCAAACGTTATACAGATATACATACTATATAAAAATTAGTCACTAATACATACCCAACATATACAACATATATATACAAAAGCAAGAACAGCTGGAGCCACGAGCTCGCCGCGCGGAGAGAAACCGGTTTTCATACGTGCGTAGATGACGTTAATAAAAATAACTATAACTTGTATTCTAGTGGGAATTTCTTTTTAAAATTTTAGGAGGAGTTTTTGAATGTATAGGGAAGCGATTTATATAAAAAAAATAAAATTGATTTTTTGAAAGTTTCGCATGAGACTGTCCCCTTAATCTTTTATATCCAAGAATTTCTTTTATATATAAATATATATATATATATATATATATATATATATATATATATATATATATATATATTATATATATATATATATATATATATATATATATATATATATATATATATATATATATATATATATATATATATATATATATAATAGCAACTGCGTATACGCTTATCTGGTTGATTACGAGAAAGCGTTTGATCGAATGCGTGGAGTGCGACAAGGCTGTATTTTATCACTTCAATCTTTACTCTGAAAAAATATTTAACGGGTGCCGGAAACAGTATTTAACAACATCGGATATGCAGATGACACCATAGTATTTGCGGACAACCTAAAAGACCTACAAATCCTTACAAAATTCGGAACAAAATTACGTATTACAGTCAACAATATGGACTGTACGTCCATATTGTTGACTGTAATATGACTGTACGTCTTTTGTATTTTTTAGTAGTTTTTAGTAAAAACGTTTTTTGTATTTTGAGAACGATTTCCGAAGTGGAAATTGAAACGTCAATAAACGTATTTTAACCTTTAATTGTGGCTTATTTCCATTTAAATAGTAATTACTTTAAAATGCCACAAGAAAATAGCTTCAGAACAATACTAAGTATAACAACTAGTTTCTGAAAAATATCATATGTGTGCAAAAAAACGAAGAATAAGTTGACTTTAGGTAATGTGACACATTGGTATTGACCTTACATTTTTTACCTCATGAAAATAATTAAGTACATACTTTCCGTATAAATCTGGCATTCATCTTTCAAATCGTGCGTTGATTTCGATACTTCTGGTTCTAAAATACAAATTCTATCAACTTCATCAAAAAAGATTCCTGATTTAGCAAGGACTTCACTCATATTTTCTGTTTTAATACATGCGTCACTATGGTTACATAAACACAAACAAGAAAAAGACGACTTCCACAACAGACAAAAAGACAACAGGATAAACTTTTGACTAATGTTTTAAGTCTAAATATTTGAACATGTAATACATTGATTTTGAAGCTAATGAGATATAATGTAAAAATCACAAGATTAATTTAGAAAAAATAACACAAAATTAATTTAGAACCACTGACATATAATATTTTAGAACCAAACGCCTTTGGCATCTGCAACCAATTCTACATTAGAAGAAGAATCAATTTAGAGATTTTATGCCTATTATGTTGGGGTCCGTTTGTCACAAATGTCAGTTTCGTTTTCATTTGTGTTGGAAAATTTTAATGTCACAAAAATCCAATAAAAATATACTTCTGCTTGTAAAATACACAAAGAAACATCAATAGTATTAATGGAAAATTTTTCAAACGTAACATAACGTAAAAAGTTCTAAATAAATTAAACTCTCCGACAATGTTAGCAATTTTAAGAGCTCCTCATATTAAAAGTGCCCGTTCCAGGTTTGCGGAAAGTAAGTTATTAAATTTTAGGTTAGATTGTTCCAACTTACATAATTTTTATAATATTTAAATGAGATGTCATCATACTAAAAATATATTTTTTTATTTTAGGATGTCGGAGACAACAGTATCAAACACGTTGTATTTGTTACATGGATGTTTTGTCATCAAATAGTATAGTAGAAAGGAAACGACAATATTCTATAAGCTCCCATGTGATTATTAGTAATTTTAACCAAAATTTATTAGTCAGTCATAATCCAAAATGGAATCACAGTTTTTATAGACCCTTTTCATTATCCAGTTCCAGATTTGACAAGGAACCTTTAAAACCCTCCTCAAAGGTGGAAGAAACTGTTCAAGAATTAAAAAAGAAACAAGAAGAAGAGCAAAAAGTGAAAACTAAGGAAGTTACACCAGTTGTAGTGAAAAAACCATTGACAACAAGAATTTGGGAGGAATTAGTTCATTACTATCATGGTTTTAGACTTTTGTTTATTGATGTAAAAATTTCTTCTGGTTTAGTATGGCGTGTATTAAATGGAAAATCGCTCTCAAGAAGAGAGTACAGGCTGTTAACAAGAACAGTAGGAGATCTTTTCCGCTTAGTACCATTTTCAGTTTTCATTATAGTACCATTTATGGAGATCCTTTTACCATTTTTTATAAAATTTTTCCCTGGAATGCTGCCCTCTACATTCCAAACAGCAACAGAAAAAGAAGATAAAACGAAACAGAGGTTAAAGGTGCAATTAGAAATGGCGAAGTTTTTACAAGGGACACTGGACAATATGGCTGTACAGCATAAGGAACGGTACTCTACTGAAGCTAAACAATTTGTTGACTGGTTTCATAAAGTACGAACTTCAGGTAAGATTTTATGAAAGTCCTGGTAGATACACACAGATTTCTTTTTGAAATATTTCACAATATGTAACAATATTAAACAAATTAAAAATTTAGATTGATTTGGACCATACAAAATAATACTAGACATTTTGAATAAAATTAATAGGAGTAGCAAAGGATACCAATTAATACATGTCACTAAAAATAAACAGGGTGGTGGTTTTAGAATGTTGAAACTGATATGCTTTTTGTTTCTAAAGAAAATTAAAAATGGTAATTTTTGGTATATATAGAACTCCTAATGTTGACCTACACACTTTTCTGGAAATTATGGAACAGCAGTGGCATCAAGTAAATAATACCAATCAATGCTAGATTATGGGAGATTTTAATGTTAATTTTCTAAGAAAGACAATTCAAAGGTTTACATAATATGTTACATGATGTAAAAGTGAAAATATCATTAGTGATCGTAGATTCTAAAACCTAGGTGTACAAAAATAATATGAAAGAAATTAAATTATAACCAACTTAGATAAAGAATAATTTAAACCAGAACCACAAAATATAAACTCCATTTGGTATGATCCCAATAATATGTTTATGGTCAAAACAAAATGGTTTTAGCTTAAATCTAACTAAATGTTCTTGTATTTCATTTTGTCAAATAAATAATCTATTAGCTAATAGATATGTCTTAATGATGTACTCTGAATTAAAAGTATACCTAAATAAAAAGAGTATACTTTTTTTATTTAGGTATACTTTTAATTCAAAACCTAAAAGCAATTGAATGTTATGTATAAAATGGTATTGTCATAGTGAAAGAGATGCAGGAAATGACAAGAAAAAATATGGAAACTATTGTTGTTGATGTCTGACATTCAACAAGACTCAATATATGGCAATAGTAAATATGCCTATGACAAATGCCTGATTTATTTTTTTTTTAAACAGAAATCAATCTAAATTTGCTAATATGTAGATGATGAACTCCATAAAATCAAGAATCAAGCATATTAGGATACACTGCAAAATATCTAAATGTAGTATAGATAAAATCATCTACTTATCCTTAATGCACAGCCATTCTAATTACCTTACACTAGTATGAAGTAAGGTAATACAAAGTAGACTCCAGCCTCTTCTAATTTTTTAAAATAGTATGCATTTGTTTTGGTTTTGGGATTAGTTTGCCTTCTTTACAATAACTTTATCCTAGTGAAGTAAATGATAAACAACTTCACAAGTAAGTTTTAGTCACTTAATAATTTCTAATTAATTGATAGTTTAAAGATTGCGAATGTTATATTTAATTACAATGATATATTGTAGGTGAATATGTAAAGTCTGAAGATATAATGAAGTTTTCAAAACTGTTTCAAGATGAAATAACACTAGACTCATTAACTAGAAGTCAACTTATTGCTCTCTGCAGAGTATTGGAAGTTCAAACTTTAGGCACCAATAACTTCCTTCGTTTTCAATTGAGGATGAAATTGAGGTCATTGGCTGCTGACGATAAGATGATACAGAAAGAAGGTGTTGACAGCTTGACTTTGTCAGAAGTACAACAAGCATGCAGGTAAACTATCAAATATATACAATATTTTTCAAGGATTAAAACTTATAAACAATAGATCAAATTACTACTGAAGTAGAGGAGAGAAAATACTAAGACTGAAATATATAATATTTATATTCATTATCATCACCATTGACCTCACTGCCCAGGTTGGGCCTTAATTTGTTTGATTAAACCTCTCTGTTCATTCCTATTTTTTGCTTACATTCTCCAGTTTCTAGTTTTGAGTTTCTTAGATCCTCCAGTACTTGCTCCATGTATCATATTTTTGGCTGCCAAAAATGTGCTTTTGAGTTGTGATTCTTGCTGGTTCAGAGGATTCTGTGTGCTCAATCTTCCAAGCTTTACCAGATTAGGTTCCCTGTGGCTTAAAGCTTGACATAATTTGAAATTATAATGCCTCTTCCAAATACCATTTTTGCATACACACCATATATGAGGAGCATACATGCAAAAACCTATAAATCCACTTTTTTCAATTTTTAGATAATAGCGAAAAACTTGTACAGCAAAATCCCATAACAATTTAAAGAAACAGCATATTGGAAATAAATAGTATATATGTCATACAATAAAATTCTAGAAGTTTAATATATTATCTTTTTTTACTGTTTTTATTTTAGATTTTTTTTTTATTTATCGGGTTTTGCTTGAAAACAGAAATTGATCTGTTTTTGCCTTAAAGATATTTGCAAGAGCACCATATGTTTGTTGTTAATAAAAGAAAATAAACAAACTAGAATGTAGAAAAAAATTCTCCCAATATTTTTCAAACTATGGATTTAATAAGTATTTAAGGGATTTTTTTTCTTTTTGAGCATACCCAGAGTCAATTCTTTTTCTGAGATGGTCAACTCAATATCAGAAAATTTTGGTCTCAAAATTTTTCAACTCACTGGTAAAATAATAGTTTTGGAATGATATTTTTATGAATTTGCCATTGTTAAATTTTTTTATTACAATCTTTGTATAGGCTAGTGCTTTCACTTTTTTCAAGCCAACTTGAAGCTCTTTCATATTAAACATTCTCCAATCAGTGCCTATCTTTTTAACAACTCCAATTTGTTTGTAAATTTCTTCATATTTCTGTCTAAAGAGAATTGTTGCTTTTTTTCTTAAGGTTGATCTTCACCCTCGATTAATTTGTTTCTGATCATAGAGATGGCTCTACTGCAGCATGCTACTGCGGTAAATTTTTTAACTTAATTGTAGATTTCTACATGACGACTCTGTAATATTTTCAAATCCTAACATAAATTGCAGTTTTCTGTCATTATATCAATTGGCTGAGTTGCCAAGTTGTGTAGACAGTAGTTTTATCAAATATGCTATAACTTATATGGTTAGTAGTAGACCAACTAAGCAAAGATATCTTATATCAACATCTTTATGTATAATACTTTACTGTTCTGCTATGTCAGTCGGAATAACATACCAAATTCATTCATTATCTAAACAATTTTACAGACAAAGAAATTATGTATGTTGTGGCTTTCTTTGTGAGTATAGTATTACCATTAAATTCGTACATCATATTATATTACATTTTTGTTGATAGTTAAAAATTAAAAAATGATCTGGTATTATGATTATGTAATATTTTAGTGGGAAATGACAAAAATGTTACTTAAATCTTATTAATATCTGTTTTTATGGATTAATAAATGTTACTATGTCTTCTTCTTCGGTTATATTTATATTTCTTATTCCATGCTTCATTGTTCTGGCTTTATTGGTCTGTTTATTCTTATAATTTTTCTTTTAATAATTCTTACTTTTTCTACATCTTTTTTCGTAAGACACATTACTTCCGCTCCTTATGCTATCATCGGTCTAATTGCTGCTCTATGTATTTTTGTCTTTGTTTTTTTTTGCTGTTTTTTTTTTATTTTTAAGTGCTGGGTGATATTTTCAAAACACCCCGTTCTTCTCCCGCCTTGTGTGCGTGGTGGTCATACGTTGGATGTATGATTTGGAGTGGTTGATGCGTATTTAGTTATTACGGTTCTATTTGGTCCATTTAGTTCTTCAGTTTCCGTATTCGACAATTTTATAACGCCAAATGAGGACTATGTGAAAGATGTTATTGCGTATGTGTTTATTGCTTTTACTATGTGCTTGGAATTAAGTTTGCTTTTGAGTGTTATCCAGATTTAGCCATATGGCTAACACTTCCTCTAAGAGGAAAATTGAAAAAGGATTGAGCTCTGGTGGGACTCTTTCCATGTTATCGAGTCCTAGGTGACTTGGTACGTCGGTGTATCTCCTAAAAATTTTCGCACGCATCTGGACGTCGAAAGTAGCACAGCTTTCTGCATGACCTTATATCATGGGTTCATTTAGACCCAGCTTTTTTATGTTTTTTAGGAGGTTCTTCGGGATGACTCCAGTGGTAGAAAGAATAATAGGTATCGTCTGGGTATTTTGCATTCTCCATTGTCTTCTTATTTGTATTTCCAGATCTCTGTACTTGATGATCTTTTCGTTGTACTTAACACGCAGATTATTGTTGTTAGGTATCGCCACATCGATAAAAGTTGTTTGTCTTGTTAGTTTATTAACTAGCACGAGATCTGGTCTATTATGTTCTACAGTTTGGTCTGTGAGCACAGTGCGATCCCAGTATAGCTTGTAGTTGTCATTCTCAAGCATACTCTCAGGAACGTATTGATAATATGGGAGATGATTTGTTTGTAGAAGTCCCAGTTTAAAAGCTGTCTCTTGATGGGGAATCTTCCCTACTGAGTCATGTCGTTCCTTATATTCAGTTGAAGCAAATGCCTGGCAGACTCCGGTAAGATGTTGGATAGTTTCTTGGGCTTGACATCCATATCGGCATTTGTCGTTTTGGACCTGAGGGTCTTTGACAATATATTTCAGGTAATTTTTGGTTGGTATAACCTGATCCTGAATGGCGAGTAATGAACCTTCTGTTTCAGGGAACATCTTTCCTGATGCCAGCCAATAGTTTGACGCTATATTGTCAACATAGTCTTGACTGACTTCATTCGGATGTCGCCCGTGCAGAGGTTTACCCATCCAGATGCGCATTTTTTCATTCTTAGTAAGATGGTTTATGCGCATTTCTTGTTCCCTCAGGTTGATCGGTGTTGTGTCATCTACTGCGCAAATCGCGCGATGAGGAGTAGATGTCTCCACCTGAACCTGAAAATAAGTTCTTAAATTAGTAATCTGTTTATCTAATTGCTCGCTTTTATCAATAAATCCTCGTCCTCCTAAATACCGCGGTAATGTCGTTCTTTCTACTGCACTTCAAGGATGGTGTTTTTGTGCCTGTGTGAGGTGTGTTCGTACTTTTCTCTGAAGAGTTTCTATATCCATTTTAATCCACTTAATAATCCCAAATGAGTAGCTAAGCGCGGAAAATCCGTAGGTGTTTAATGCCTTAAACAAATTTTTACTATTAAGATGTGAGTGGAGTAGCTGTTTTACCCTTCGTATGAATTCTGATGTTAATTCGATTTTCATTTGTTTATGGTCAATTTTCCGCGCTTGCTTTACTCCTAGATATTTATACATGTCATTTTCGCCCATAGCCTCGATGTTTTGGCCATTTTGCATATCGAATCCGCCGGGCTTAACCTTTTCCTTGACTATATTTAGTACACGACATTTGTCTAACCCAAAGTGCATACTTATATCATTTGAAAAATGTTCTACAGTTTTTAGCATTTGATCTAAGTGGTTTCGAGTGGAAGCCATTAGTTTCAAATCATCCAATACAACAGATGATTAAGCTTCGCCACTACAGTGTTGTTGTTTTTAATGCTAAAACCTGAGTCAGTGGAGTTCAATAGCTGGGATAGTGGGTTCATCGCTAGACAGAAACACAAGGGACTGAGCGAGTCTCCTTGGAATAGGCTGCGGTTAATTGCGATATTTTCCGTTTCGATATTGTTGTGACCAGGTACTTGGAGGTGAATTTTAGTCTTCCAATATGTCATTATATGTCTTAAGAAGGTCACTATATTATCATCGACTTTATATATTCTTAATATATCTACCAGCCATTCATGCGGCACTGAGTCAAAGGCTTTCTTATGGTCAATAAAGGCAGTGAAGAGGTTCCTTTTTTTTGGTGTATGCCTGGTTAGAAATGACTAAGTCGATAATAAGTTGTTCTTTGCCACCCATGGAGCCCATAGCGCATCCTTTCTGTTGAGGTTCTATGAGTATTATTATTATTATATAATGATATCGAGCCAAAGCAGAGCTTATGTGGCCCAAATTACAAAATATTTGTATGTACTAAACTAAATAATATAATATAAATCAAATTTTCTCACAAAGTAAAAATAAAAATAATTTTCAAAAGAATTAGTGCTTACAAAAAGTTCTGGCAATAGCAAATTACAAAAATACAAATATTACCAAGTATACATAAGTTTTCAAAAGAAAAAAAAATACAACCAATATAATTAACATAAGACTAGGTACAATATTTTGTTCGTTTTCATCAAACTTGTTTTTGAAACTATTTAAACTAGTAGCTTCTACTATGTCATCACTTAAACCGTTTAATTTATCAAAAACTCGGTTAACTAAAAAGTTTTGCATTAAGGTGGTTTTAAAATACTTCTTTTTCAATTTATAGTTATGACCTCTTAGTCTACCACCCCCCTCCAAAAATCCCCACTAAGAATTCTATAAGTAGATATGACATCATATCTTTCTCGTCTAAGAGTTAATGGAGACAACTTGAGCTTTCTTAGTCGGGTTTCATAGTCTAATCTTCCATAATTAAAAGGTAGCTAGGTCCCTCTTAGTTGTACTCCTTCTAATAAATTAATGTCTTTTTGCAAATAAGGTGACCAAACTGACACTGCAAATTCTAGGTGAGGTCTGACATAACTTTTGTAGAATTTCAAAAACAAGTCTGGAGATATTCTATGAAAAGCTTTTGTGATAAATAATAAAGCAGAGTTCGCTTTACTAACTACTTCTGGTGTTTGAGTAGACCAACTTATTGTTTGGTTGACCGTAACACTAAAATTATTAACTTCCCGTACCGATTTCAGAGGAACTCCATCCCAAAAATATGTATATGGGAATTAGAAGATGTAAATGACAAAAAGTCAGAAAACTTAGCATGTAAAGAAGCAATATTAGTCTAAAAAATATTTATTGTTGTCAACTCTATTTGTTTTTTTTTGTGACATTTTGTTGGTTAGTACTAATAATAGTTGGAACTTTATTAATATACTTTATTGTTAGTTCCTTGTTAAGTAGATTAGGTTTTTCCAGTTCCTCTCGCACTTTATTCAAATAGTTTATTTGATATTTAGTTAAGTCATCCTTCAATTGCATTCTAGAAAATTTGGTTCCTAACAACCTCATATTATTACGTAACATTAATAATGGACTATCATTATCTGCAAATTTAACCTTTAATGGCCGTTATGCAAGGAACACTATTGTTTATAAATACTAAAATAATTTACTAAAAACGCCTAACTAGGTTTTTAAAACTAAATAAGTTTTTTGTAGATATAATACTTATAGAGTGTAAATTTTATGATATCGTTCTTTCAAAATAAAAGTTGCAGTATCTACTATTCTGTAACTCTGTAAGTTTCATTATGGCCAGTACAAAATTCAAACCGATAACATTCCTACTAAGTTTTGTTATATTCTGCCAAATTGTTGTACAAAGTAATTGATATGGCAACCCTGTTACTATGTCGTTTCGTTTGAAGCGTTTCGAAGCCGAACGTAATGCTATCTATCGATAATAAATACTACCACTGTTTCAGATGGAGCCATCTCCCTACATTACACATTTGAAGGCGGCGGTTCAAGACATAATTCTTGTTTAACGAGATTTTTTCATATGTTTAGGAAAAAATATTTAACGTTTTATTGCAAATATTTTCCACTTTTACAGTTTTATATATGTTGTAATTAAAAAATTAATCCCCTCTGTGGCTCAGTGGTAAGAGCGCCTACCTTTAAATCTAAAGGTCGTGAGTTCGAATCTCATCTGGGTGGAAATTTTCGTTTAATAAAAATTAATAAATGAAAATAATTTCTATCCTTGTGCGATCGGTACTCACCAGAGGGACCGCAGACGTTCGGATACAATTAGCGTCTCTTAGCAAAGATAATGACGTCGGCTTTGCTAAGTATCAAGACAATTACTCTACACACACACACTACACTAGGTACCTGACTGTACCATGCCAATGATCATAGTTGTCGAGGCATTAACCCAATAAAAAAAAATTAAAAAATTTTTTGGTTTCTTACCGGAAGCTTTATTATAAGCAAAAACATACTATTTTTTCCTATTGGGACAAAGCTGTAAATTCAAAAATTTTCAAAAAATTCCTAAGTATTTCTTATAATTATATCTTGATGCTGTAAAAAAAATTAACAAAATTATATGTCTGGTTTTCCCGCTTTATACTTGGAAAAAAGTAGTTTTTTTAAAAACGAAAACATGAAGTTTGCTTAAAAGTTGTCAAAATACTTCTAGTCATCTCATACACCTTCTCAAATTTTTTCAAATTTTTTGAATTCGGAATTTATCTTTTGGGGGGTGCAGATCAACCTTAAAAGTTTTTCTACTCTTCCAACTACCCTGTCTGCTGGCAAATATGAATGGCCCCTGACTGTAAATACTAGTAATATTTCTATAGTTATTTGAACTGGAACTTTAAATCTAAGCCAAAAGTACAGAGAATGAATAATATAGAAGTTTTTGTTTTGTCCACCTCACCCGTTTCAAAAGAGGCGAAGTGTAATATTATCATACTCTAAAGAATTCAAATAATTTACAAGTGCAGAACCTATTTCAATTGATCCCCTACCTGCCTGATCTTCAGTTCACATTGGAAGTTTAGACTGGCTATCAACGCAGCAAAAAAGATACATGCTAATCTGCTGTGCATAAAATGCATCATTAATAGCTGTTTTGGGCAAAGGCTGCACCTGCTGCATATTAAAGCAGGATGTAATTAAATTTTCAGGAGTTTCTTTTAGCAGATTATAAAATCTCAATTCTCAATCTCAATTCTTTTGGTGGATACTCAACTCAGTACAAAACTGTCTTTTCTTTACCTTGTTAATTTTTGTTCTAATTTTGAATTTGTAATTTCTTTATGCTTAGATCAGCGGCCCAATAAATTCGTCTTGCTTTCTTTCTATTATAATGACTTTCTCTTCCTTGTAGTTTACCAATAAACTCTCCTATTTTATTCTTTTTAACAATAGATTTTGTGGACATGTGATCTCCACCCCGATTTTCTTTTGGAATATTTCTGTCTGACAATGTTTTAGCAACGTAGTTTATGCGATCTTTTTTAATATTCACACATTTCAAGAAAAATGCCTGGTATACCTGAACTTTTTTCTTTCTGACACTATTCAACAATGAGTAATATACGGAAAAGTTATACACCTTGACTGCTCATTCTATTGTCAATCTTTTCCTTTTAATTGGAACTACTGACATGTAATGACACACTATTTCAGTGATAAGTAGGGCCATTGTGTTTTGTAAAGTTTTCCAAATGAGGATCGCTATCAGGATATCTAAACCAAAAAATGAATTAGGTAACAAACATCTTAATTTATTTTTTACCCGTTACCTTTGCTTTTGCAATTTCTGCCTCTTGGTCTCACTTTTCTTTTTTTTTTCCTATTTCCTATACTAATTTCCAACATACTTACTTCCATTGTTAAAACTTAATACAATTATGTTAAACAACTGCTTAATACGTAGTTCATAAACAATGTAACATAACCTCTTAATCCTCTCCCCCTTAATTCCGACAATGTGATTAAGGTAACGTTATCCTCTCGTTTTTAATTTGCAAACTACTACCATAGGAAAAGACATATACTTCTTTGTTTATGCTACTACTATAAAACGAAGCCTGAAACAGCATAAAGAAACATGCTATAAGTATGTACGATATTATGGATTTAATTACTATTTAACTGGGAAAAAGCCACAATTAAAGATAAAAATACGTTTATTGACGTTTCAATTTCCACGTTCTCAAAATACAAACATTAGTAAATTTACTAATGTTTGTATTTTGAGAACGATTTCCGAAGTGGAAATTGAAACGTCAATAAATGTATTTTTATCTTTAATTGTGGCTTATTCCCAGTTAAATAGTAATTAATTTAAAATGCCACAAGAAAATAGCTTCAAAACAATATTATGGATTTACATCATTGATAGCGAATTAATTATTTAAAGATATATCGGGTTTTGCTTGAAATTTGGATTTATCAGCATTTGCTCGAACTGGTCAACTTTGTACATCCTTTTAAAGGGAAAATATCGGTTTTGAACAAAAATATGTTAAAATATTGCTTTCTTTCAAATATTGCCACTTGCAATTCATCTGATTTTGTCACTACTCAGGTTTCTGAACCATAGGTGAACACTGGTTTCCCACTGGTGAATGCCAGAGTCATTCTATTATATATAGGATAAGATTTAAAGTGAATTTTGATATAACCAAATATATGCCAATAGATGTTAGGCGAAAGCAATCCAAATTACCCTAATGGGGAAAAATATTCAAAGCATTTTATAATTTACATATCTGGGATTCCTAATACATAGAGACATACCACACTGAAATTAGACAATCAGACAAACATTTATATTATTCACTTTAATTCCCATACAATTTTTCACACAGTTCTGGTTTTATACTAATTATTGTCGCTGGCACTATTTTTTCCATGCATTTCTATTATGTAGTATATTTGTTTTTCTCTCATACTAAATATGTCATTTATAAAATCCATCATTTGTGTATACCATCCAGTCTTCCACATTTTAATTTCGCACTGCCAAAGTGATTTTAATAAACTTTTGTATTACAGAGCAAGAGGCATGAGGGCCTATGGTTTAAGTGAAGAGAGGTTAAGAGCACAGTTGGAACAATGGTTGGATTTAAGTCTAGATAAGAAAGTCCCTCCTTCACTTCTACTCTTGTCGAGAGCATTAATGCTGCCAGAAACCATACCTACAAGTGACAAACTTAAAGCCACTATCTCCGCATTACCAGACTCTATTGTCAAACAGACTCAAGCTGCCATTGGAGAAAAAGAAGGTAAGATGTTTATTTATTCAAAATAGGGAAAGCCCTTATATACACAAAACTAATCAATTTATAACATTAATACATAAAAAAAGTTAAGTCGAAGTATCAGTAACTAAATGTTTTACAGTTATATGAATTTAGATAGTTTCAGTTTTTCCAAATACATGGATATTTCTAAATGCATTAAAACTTAGCTGCTGTAGGCAGAGCACCTTGTATGATGTTTTCTATTGGCCAAACCTGAAAGAACTAAACAGAAGTAAACCAAGGTTTAGACGAGAAGTTGGTATAGAAGGGGATGCCAGTAATGTGGAGTTGATGAAAATTAATTTCTTTATACAGTCAAAAATATTTATCATCTGCACACATCTTTTATCTGCTTTTTAATTGTGGATTAAACTGTAATAATCTATGATTGTGTACCTATGACATATTTTTACATTTTAGGCAAAATTGACAATAGAGTCAGGGTAGAAATAATCAAGGAAGAAGAAAAGAAAATTAAAGAGGAAAGAGAAGAAGTCAGAGAAGAAAAGAAAAAGCAGAAATTGGAGAAGGACAAAGAACTCCTTGTGGATAAAGCACCAGTAATATCAACTGAAGCAACACCTGTTCTAGATGATACAGCTTTGAGGATACCTTCGAAGAAACCCGAAAAAATAGATGAAAAGGAGCAACATCTCCAGTCCAAAGATTTTGCTATTATTGAAACTGCCATTGACACTGTTTCTAAGGAAAAGAAGTTTATTGTAGAAAAGGAGGAAATACAAGAACTTAAATCAGAGATGGAAGATTACAAACAAGGTATTTTTTATTTTAAATATATGTTATATAGATACAGATATTGGTATGTTGTTTCTAATAGTGTTCCATTACATTTAATTTAGTTATTGTTTTTGTTTTATTTATATTCACCTTCATTTTCTTTTTTAGTATTTCTTTCGGCCACAAATTCACCAGCCTTTACATTTTATTTTTGTTGTTTGCTACCAATACAATATCATTTGTGTAGAGTAAACTCTAATTTTACTGGTTGTATGGTTCCGTGTCTAATTATTGTATTATTTTTTCTTCTTTTGCTTTGAGATTCTTTATAATTCTGTCTATTAATATGTTTACTGTCTATATCTTCACTGTTTTATTCCATTGCTTATTTTGAATTCATTGGATCTTTGGCCTCCCACTTGACTTTTCCTCTGTACTGTACTTTCTATATGGATCATTAATGTTTTAAGTAGTTCTAGTTTTTCCAGAAATTTCCACATTTTTTTTTCTGTCAATCGAATCAAAAGCTGCCTTTAGATCAATAAAGGTTGCTTAGCAAATTTGGGAGAAAATAATTTATTTTCTATGTTAGTGTAATAAAGTTTCCTTTGTTATAAATAAAATATTTATAATTTTTACCATGTTATTTCAGATGTTGAAGATCTGGCTAAAGCTGTAGCAAGTCAACCAAAACCAGAGATTAAAGAAACAAAAGCTGCCAAACGTCTTTTCAAGAGCGTTAATAAAATGATTAACAAATTGGACAATGTTCTCGATGGTTTAGAAAAACGGGAAAAACAGTTGAAGAAAGATCTAGAACTGGAAGCGACTGACAAGAAGAAGGAAGAACTACTTAGGATCGATGACATTATAGCTGTTATTCATAAAATAAGGGATGTACCAGATCAGAGTAAAATCGAACAAATTAAAAACGTGCTAAAACGAATGGACGATGATCAAGATGGATCTTTGAAAATAGAGGATGTTTTGAAGGTATGTAAAATGTAATTTATTCACGGTGTAAATTCTTCATTAGTGTCCAGAACTTTTTTGGGTGTCTTTTATCCAATTTCCAGAAACATGTTAAAATGGTGGTGAATTAAATAAAATGCGAGTTTCTATCCTTCATATGTCTTATTTTGTGACATATAACCTGTTACCATATGGTAAGGCTGGGCACTTACATAATCATTATTTTCTATGATTCAGAAGTAAGTAATACAGCAGTAGAACTGAAACAAGTATATTCAAACAGCTTACAAAAAAAATTAACGATCTTGATTTACAATGGAAAGATCTGGAGCAAGCAATGCACAGTCCAATATTGCACTTTGGGCACATTGTATGTCCCAAACTAGTAAATCCATTTCCGGTATACCTTTTGTCGTCAGGTATTTTCTCAATGAAATAGTCAATTCTGTTATATCGTATGTTATTATTTAAGTGTGAACTAATGGTTTTCCAGATTTTCCATCCATTGTGTACATTTTTTATTGCGCACGTTTATTCTATATTTCGCTATATTTTGATCCATCCTGTCCTGACACAACTCTAAAGGGGAATTATCTTTGAACTGAGAGTAATCTTGTTTCTCCTATCCAAGTATGAGTCTTCCCGACCTGTTCAAAATTTTCAATATCTATCTCACGTTATAATAGATCCACCTTCAGTTGTCTGTGATTCAGGTTATCTGCAGTTCCTCCTTAGTCCTCGTCCCTGGAATCCTCGTCTGTCAAACATCAAGTTGAGGAAGATTCATAAAAATATCAATATCAGTAACATCTTTTACCAAATCTAATGCTTCCTTTACTTTATCTAATGCTACTTTAAGCAAATATTGCTACTAAATATAAATATATTATTCAGGCACATAACATTATACATATACTGACCAATTGTAGTACAGTCTCGTTGGCTATCTTGTCTGTCCATGATATCCTAAAGATTCTTCTGTATAGCCACATCTCGAAGGCTTCAAGTTTTTTCTCCATCGCTTCAATGAGTATCCAGGATTCAACTCTGTAGTATAATATCTAGAAGATATAACATCGTAGGAGCCTTACTTTTATCTCCAGATTAAGGTTGTGGCTTTTAAAGAGTTTGGCTGTGTTGTTGAATGCACTCCTGCCTTCTCTATTCTACATTTAACTTCTTGTGAGTGAGCCCATTGTTCGTTTACTACTGTTCCAAGATAGGTAAACTGTTTTACTCGGTCCTCTGGTGTATTCTTTATGAGCAGTTGGATGTCTCTAATTTTATTGTTGTGCAAATCTTTCACTTACTTTATTAGCTTTTTTATTAGTTGCTGCAAACTGTTTAAACTGTTCAAAAATAACGGTGCCATTTGCATAGCGGATGTTGTTTAGACGTTCTCCATTTAAAAGGATACCATGTTCGCAATTTTCCAAGGCTTCCAGTATAAGTTTTGTATTGTACGCCGCCGGTCTTTATCATCTATTTGGGCTTTTGTTAGAACATCCATCATTTTTCGATGTTAAACTGTGTCAAATGCTTTTTGGTAGGCCACAAAGCAGGTGTAGATATCGCAAGTAATATCTTTGCATTTTTGGAATAATACCTGTAGACTAAACAGTGCATCTCTTGTACCTACGCCTTTCATGAATCCAAACTGTGTGTCTTGTGTTCTCTCTTTGCATAGCTTGTATATTCTGCAATGTATAATTTTAAGAAAAAGTTTTAGTGTATGGCTCATCAGACTTATTAGCCTATATTCTCCGCACTTTTTCGGTCCCTGTTTTTTTGGTAACGTAATAAATTCTGAAACTAGCCAATCTTTTGGAATATTGCCTATGTCATAGATATTGTTGAAGATTTTACATAGTATTCTTAAATATTCATCATCAAAAAGTTTAAGAAATTCAGACTCTACTCCGTCTGGTTCTGGAGCGCTCCCTTCTTTTAGCGATATTATGGCTGCTCATATTTCTGCCACTAGTAAAGGTTGGTCCTGTTTCCGTAGGTATTGGGAACTGATTCTCCCTCTCATCAAAATATAAATTTCTTATGTAATTTTTTCAGGTATTATCAATACTCTCCTTGTCCACGATTACCTCTCCGTTGGTATTAACAAGTTTACTTACTCTTCTGTTTTTACATTTGCCTGTAATTTCTCTTACCTTTTTATACACGTTGAAGTCGTCGTATTTACTTTGTAGAGTTTCGATTTCTTGCCATTTTTTCTCCAGTTCTTTCTGTTCGGCTTCTCTGATCTTTCTCTGTATATCTCGTTGTAATATTTTTATACATAGAGTTATTCTGCCGTGATAAGGTAAAAAGCAGTAAGTGCGAAAATAATGGTTTTGAGATATTTACAATTTAGGATTTTTTCTTCCACACAATTTATTATTTATTTAATTTTAAGCAGAAAAACGTTAAAAGACATTAGAAAATATGTCTTAATTTTTGACAAACAAAACAATTGTGTTACTTGTTTTTTGGCTGAAAATTCAGCAGTTACTGCTGTTTACCATAATAATCAAGTTATTTTTTTAAGCAGTAAAAAGATAGAATTTTCAGCTTTATGTAAATATCGGTTTTGAAAATAAAACAAAAATGCAGAATAAAGTGGTAGTATAATCAAATTAAAATTAAAATGTAATTCACATTAATGGAAAGGAAAAAAATCATAATTAATTACATAATATTGAAAAAACTATTCGAAATTTATTAAGTCTTCTACATCATCTTCTTTTAATGAATGCCAAAAATGTCGTCTGTTTTGAGGCCTGAGGGGGCACAGTTGCGAAATTATACCTTGTTTCTTTTGCGTAGGGACACCCCTACAATTATCGCGTAGCTACAAATCAATGTTTTTATTTAGTTCAAATTTGTTTATTAATTTTAATAATAATAATATTAATTGCTTCAAAAAACCTCAAATATCAAGAGTTGAAAAAAAAACTGACTAATAAATAAAATACAATTAACACAAAGAATTAGAGACAACTAGATATTAGACAAAAGTAAAAAAAAAACAATACAATATACAATATCATTATTAAACAACAAAATAAAATTATAAATATAATAAAAATTGGTACTATAGCAAAAACTGGTGGAGACATATTACTCGTTTATACCAAAAAAAGCGTTAATTTTAAAAACATATAAGTACCCTACCGTCTTGAGCCGATACTTCTTGTGTTACCAAGGACACTAAATATTTACCCCGTGAGGTAAACATGTTATTTAAACAATTTTGGTGCACTCCACAAAATACAACACCTTACATACACTCCAAACGGTAGACTAAACAAATCTAAGTACGGGCTCACGGGCTGAAACTGCAAGCTAAACTTTCTGCGTTATGCCATGTGTTTATTTTAACGGATATTAAATCAGGTGATGTTTAAACATCGAGTTAGAATCTATGGAGAGGGCATCACGTGACTAAAAACGACCTAACTTCGGCCATATTGGTATTATTGTTTTGAAACTTTTGACAGATCGTATAGGTTTGTTATATTTGTTGTTTTTTCGAATATTTTCAGTTTTATAATAATTTTATAGAAACTGTAATATATTGTGATAGTGCATAATAATGGTTTCTTGTTCTCAACGTAACTGCAGTAGCAGAAGTAATGTTAATAAAAAATCTTCAGGAATATCGTTCCACAGGTTAGTATACAAATATGTAAACAAAGTAATGGCCCGTACTTCAGAGAATAAATTAATACTATTTGACTGTATTAATTTATCTTTATATATAATATATCGTGTTTTTAGTGTTTACCGCGGTATAAATAAATCATAGTTTATTAAAAATGTATTGCACTTTTTAGATTATGATTAAATCTTCTAAATAACTAGTCATATTTTTATAGTAGTTTTAATATTATTGAGTCCGGCCATGATCCCACCGCCATATTGGTATTATCGTTAGCCACACCTACCTACGCCGTTTTTAATACACACGTTAATATGCTCATAGCTTCTCCATAGATTCTAACTCGATGTGTTTAAAGCAAATGGCAGTATCTGAGAAGATACTGCCTTATATCATGATATTATAATACAAACTTGGAATACAAATGTGAAGGTAAATAGCAGTATCTACTTTACTAAGTAGATACTGCCGTTTACATTCACATTAAAAATTGTGTTCCAGGTCTCTGTGTAGGCAAACAGCAGTAATTAGTTATTACATTAGATACTGTCTTTTACCATCACATTGAGAGATACTTTGTTAGTTACTGCTTTTTTGCCATTGCTATTTCTGGTGTAAGTTGACTATCAATGTGCACCAAACCCTTTGTAAAAACAAGGGCAGTTACTACTTAGGTACACTACATTAAAATCTCATTTTTGACAAAAATGTCACTTACTGCCTTTTACCTTAACACGGCAGTATTGTTCTCGTTTTTTCCTTCTTTCTTCCATCAGTTGCAGAATCTCTGTCGTTATCCATGTCTTATTCTTACCTTCTTCGTTCTTCATAAACCTCTGTTTAATGTTGTCTATCGTTTTATTAAGGGATTCTATCTTCTCTTCTGTGCATTTCGTTGTATTATCGATTTCTTTGAATTTTCTATTTATTGTTTTGCTGACTATTTCTTTTTACTTCACTTTTAAGTTTTATTCCGCTGTTTTTCTTTAACTTGGTTCTATATACGCCCACTAAAGGATTGTGTTCAGATTGAATATCAGCGCCTGGTAGGTTTAACACTGTTGAAACTATTTCGATATCTTTTGTTAACAAGTATATAGTCTATTTGGTTTCTTATAATAACGTCTTCTCCGTTTTCGATTTTCAGCTGCAAAGATACTCATTGTTTCTCCTCGTTGATTTCTCTCTCCTAATCCATAAGTACCAATATGTTGTCCTTTTTCTTTACCTATTTTAGCATTGAAATCTCCCATGACTATAAGGAGTTCATGTCTCGGTATATTTTTTATAAGGTTGCTTATTTGTTTATAAAATTCTGATATTTCCTCATCACTGTGGTCTGCTGTGGGTGCATAGACTTGTATAATGTGTAAAGACTTGTAAAAGGATTCTACCGTTCACTAGTATGAAGCTGTTGACGTGTTTGGCTATACTTTTATGTGTGATAATTCCGACTCCATTTTCATATTTACCATTTTTTGATCCTGGATAGTATACTCTGTATTCTTCTATGTCACAATAACTTGAGTCAGGTCACCTCATTTCGTTTGTGACCATTATCCTAACGTTCCAAGTGGATATTCTCTTCAGATAATTCATGTGAATCTGTCCTAGCTGTCTTATTCTTATAGGTGTGTTCTTGGGCATTTCACATATTCCGGCTCCCCTGCCGGATCTTGGTCTCCGATGTCCATGATCAGTAAGCGAGTTTGCGTTGTGTTGTACAGCGATTATGATTGTACTAAAGATATCCATAGGGATCTTTAATATAGTGGTTTCTCGTTGCCTTCTATATTCTTATGTCGTTGACCAAACCCAAACAGCATGCTAGCCGACCGAACGATTCAAGTAGTCATGAGAACCGACATTAGCATCCAAGAAAACTAAAGAATGGACGTCCTCAGGGATCTGTCCTAGCTCCTTTTCTCTTTAGCCTGTACATCGCTGATATACCAGAAACCAGATTAAGAAGTACCAGAAACCTGTGACTGCGGACAACCACAAATCATCTGTCACATTACAGAACAATGTCCCACAAGATTCTATCAAGGCAGGTCAGAGGATTTCCTAATGGCGATTCAAGAGTGGATAGACTATATGAATAAGTTAGATGTTCGTTTTTAAACATATATGTATTATGTTTTATACAAAATATATGTAAATTTAAATGTAAATGTGTCAAGTGCCATACGATAAATAAATAAAAAAAATATATCCACAATATGAATAATCGTCCGAATTACTGAAAACTCACGAACAATTAGCAATTCGTTTGACTCACATGCCCTGTAGACATTTGGACAATATTATTAAATTAATATTAGTTTAGGATCTCTTTGGTTATCGATATAATATATATTGCTATTATTATGTTAATATGTAGCTAGATGTTTGTTTTTTTTCAATATATTTATTAATAGCTGTTTAGTCAAGATGGTAAATTAACATTTATGGACGTCACATACATAAAAACACGATTTGTTAAAATTTAAACAACATTTTGCCCTACACGTTATGTTGTCGTTTTAAAGAGGTATTTCCATGTATGTGACGTCCATAAATTTTAATTTTCTTTTATAATCTTGACAAAACAGCTATAATAATTAATAAATATATTTAAGAATCATCTCGCTATATATTAACATAATAATATACATGAAATATAAAATTTATGGATTCCTTGAAGGGGAAGGTGGTTTTCATGATTTTTTTAGTTTCTAGAGCTTTCCTGTATCTGATATCTTGTAGTTTTTAATATAAATAAAACTAGCATAATGGGGTTTTATGATGGGGCATACATTGTAAGCCTTGAAGTCAGTAGCCCAAATTTTACCATCATTAAATAATAAAAACTCCTTAAGAGTATGTGTTGACTCATCTCCCTTATACTAGTATGGACTTACATTGTCGACCTTTTCATCATTTCTGATAGGATACTTAATTGTCAAAAGTTTTAAATAAATTTTTTTAAATTTTTTCATCTAGAATATATTATCGTTCTAGTTATAAACAATCGTCCGGGAACGTTTCTACAAAATCTGAGACCAATTCACGACAACCAACTTGGCCGATTGGACTATTTCCCCCTTATTTATCAATTATTGCTGTGAATAGTTAAAAAGCACTATCCAACCGCAGTTTATAATTGCAAAATGTTGTATTCTATACATCGTATTGGCCTAGAACATAGCGTTAAAGAGATGCACAAACTAAAACCTTTCTGGTGTATTAAAATTCCACTCTTTATTTTATAAAGGATACTTCCAATATTTTATTGTATATTTTGTTATTTATATATTTGTTTTCTCTAGGTAATTGAAATAATAGGAAAAGAAAATGTCAACCTCAGTCCCAAACAAATAGACGAGTTGGTAGATCTCATTGACAAAGAGGAGATCCTCGAAGTGGAAGATAAAATTGAAAAGGCATTACAGAAAGATAAAGAAACGAAGTCCAAAGAACCGAAGTGTAAAAAAGACCAAGAAAATCCACCGAAATCTGATCCTCCCGACGCACCAAAAGCGAAAATGGATTGCAATCCAGTTTTTCCACCTCCACCCAGTATTGAAAAGTCAAAAAACAATTCCAAAATGGTTTAAAACAGGTTTAATTTTCATATAGTTAATTTTATACGTACCTAACTGATGTACTGAAACCGCAGAATTTAAATTACTTAGGCACAAGTTGTAAATTTCTTAACCACATAAAAGCCAATATAAATTGTTTTGTTACCTGTTTCAGATGGATTTTATTTGTGATCTTTATACAGGTGTTAATTCTATAATTTATTTTTCTGGGTGTAACAAAGGTGTGATATTAAATGTATATTTTTAACTGTTGTTTTTTAAAATAAAATTATTTTCTAAAATTGGCTATTAATACATTGCAGAGTCAATATTTTAACCTATTATTTTAACCTGTCCTAAGTAACCTTAAATATCAAATGATATGCTTTGGTTTATCTTTTAACTTATGGGACAAATGTTTTGTAGTACAGTGTTGAAATTTTTCACTTCAGCGCCACGGTCGGTATCACGCGCGTGCGTATATTATACTTATATGCGTTGACAATACTCCGACGTCATTGCAGTAACAATAAATAGTTTATATAGGTACCGTCTTTTCGGATGGCTCTAATTAATTTGCATATTATGGCGCATCTAGCAATTGAAGGGGTTAGAATAAAAAGGATGTAAGTGACATAAACACTGTTTTGAGATTAAGCTTAAAGTTGTTTGAATTAAAAAAAAATCCAGGAAATGTTTAATTCATATCTTTGATTGCTTTTATTAGAAGCAAAATATGAAGTTTTAGTTACACCTTGAGTTTTGGAAAATATTTTGGATTTTTTTAAAAAGGAGCACTTACACCCTTTTTTTCCAAACGTTAGTTCAATTTGATTAAAATGAAAAAAACAAAAAATTTAGAAACATTTTTATTGAGATTAAATATAGTTACAAACATTAAACTAAACATTATTATCTGAGTCAGAGTCAAGTAAAGCCGTATCCATCTCACTTTCAGAATCTATAGTATTAGAAGCATCAGCTGTAACCTGCTTTGATGTCGATGTATCACCTCTAATACTGGTTTGTTTAAGTTTATTATCCTTTTTCTGCCTTTTTGCGTTGCCATGTTTTAATTCCTTATAAAAGTCATGATGTCGCGATGGTATGTATTCCATGAGGGACTGCAAATTTTTCCATTTCGCTGTGCTGATGCTCAGAGAATCCTCATTTAATTCGGTACAAAACATCTTTCCCAAATTATTGGCTGGTCTACTTTTACCCAAATAAGGACAGGTACATGTCGTGAAAGGAAAATCTTTACTTAGAGTACTCTTAAAATAAAAAGAATAGGTCTCCAAACTTTTGATATACCTATTTGAATTGACGAATTTCTCTGAACTTCAAACTATATCCCTCGACATCCTTTTTTGGGTCGCCTATTGTAGCATTCAGATGTGAAAATGAAAAGAAATGCTCTTTGTTCATGAGATGTAAAAGAAAAACGTTTAGAAGCCAACCTTATTACATCAGCCCAGTCAGAAGGAATAAATACTTGCGGAATTTTTTTTTGCATTTTTCTATAAGGCCGGGTTTTCTATATGTGTGACCGGGTTCTAAAAATTTATGTTCAATTTCTTCAAGTTGTGTAGCTTTAAAAAAAACATACATAATTTGCATATATTTTTATTTTGGCCGCCACAAGAATCACTGTAGGCGACTAATCTTTTAATCCTATGGGGCAAGGATTTTACAAAGTCTAATAGACATGAGCCTATTTCTTGTGAGCCACTTGAAGCTATATTTTCAGACCATACATACATGTGAGCTTCATTGGTTAGGAGATTGCAAATACAAAAGTTGTATGTCCAAAGTTGTCTCAGATAAAATACTTTAGATGTGGTCAAGAGTGGTGTTGGTAGAGACTGTTGCAGGTCAAAGCATACCACTACTGTATCTGTCGAAAATCTGTATTTTTCGATGTCGCTTTTCTTCTTGTTCATGGCATTTTCGGCACGTTTCTGATGAAGAGCTAACTGAACCTTACGGTGTGATACTTTAGAATCATCATTAGAATATTTTATAATATTTTGATGGGAATCACAGCGGGAACAGGTGTCTGAATGTGAACGATGAAAGCTTAAGTTAAATTCGCTACTGAAAATATGTCGATAGTAAGAGAGCTTCACAGGAATCTTGTTTTCCTCTTGGCAAGTAGTTTTGTATAAGTCATACATAACCTTAATATTTAAATCGGGTGACAAGTATTTCGTCTGAGAATTCTTTTCTAGAATAATGGCTTGTGTATCTAGGAAACCTTTTCATATGATTGATTACAAAATTGCGTTGCTCATTTTCCATCCTCCTGTGAGTTTGTCCTTTTCCTCTTTTGTCTTGCTCAGCAATACCAAGGTGATTAGTTTTAGCACATACAGATGTAAATCTTTTACTTGATATATCAAAAGTTTTAGAAAAAATTGTGTACAAACACGCTTTTCTAATAAAAATATATCTGTGCTAAATTTTCTTTCGTTTGTGCTGTCAATTTTCTTCCTATTTACGTTAGTTTTTTTTTATGCATGATGATAAAAAAGCAGTCTGATGATCATATGACGGTAAATCATAGAAGGCTTTAAAAAGGTCTTGTCTGTTTTCTTCACAAATATTTATATTGCATTTGTATCGACATGTATGCTGATAGGGTTGCAGGGACTTATTTTTATGCACCTTGTTGTTAGACACATACTCTTTACCTTCAGTTCTAGAGCGTTTTATTTTGTTGATCTTCCATTCAGATGGACGTCGCAGCCTTTTTCTTGTTTTATCTGGAGTAATATGAAGCGCCTCATGTGTTAAAACTACTTCAGCGGTATCAGAGTCAAGATTGTCTTCATTTGCGTCTGATCCGGAAGTAGATGATGGAACGTATTCTTCTTCTTCTTCGTCCGTATAGTAAGGATCTAAAAGTATAAAAATTATTTGTAACTTGCTGTGCCACTATTCAAATAATAAAAACGATGTTGTTACCCGTAACTGTACTTTAGTTTATTTTCGTTTCTGTGAGGTAGTAGATGTTTCTTCTGTTATATTTGCAGTGCTTATAGTTTAGTCCCTAATTTACTTTTGCTTCTAATTATGCATAAATATTAAATTTTCTAAAGTAAAATTACTTAAAATAGTTATATATAAAATAGGTATATATATTTAATTTACTAAATTAAGACTACGAAAAAAACGTTATTTTTTTAATATGCCCTGTCATGAAAAATACACTTATTACGCCCCTTAAAATATTTTTTAAATTATTTTACATTCTTAATCGAATTAAACCGAAATAACAAAAAATGGATAATTTTTTTAACAGTAACCTCGAAATTAATATGTGCATAAGTATTTAACAATTTTATGCAGATATAGATAATAATGGACGAAATATAACCACAAAGTTTTATTGTTAACCTTTTGGATATTAATCATAGCTGTAAAATAAAATAATAAGCAAAGGGGCTTATCTTCGGTCCTTTCCATTTTTATTTTTTGGAAAAACAGTTCGTAAATCGATGAACTAATCAATAAACTACTAACACAATCGTAGCACGTGTTTAGAAAAAACAGTTAGTTCTTCTAGGAATAGGAAGGGTACAATTACGTAAATGGTTCTTTCGGTTGGAATAGCAAGGATGCAAGTGCGTCTACACCCTTTCGATTCCAACGCAAACTGTACCTTCATTTATCTAATTTTTCCACTACGCAATAGATGGCTCCAAATGTATTAAAAATCACTTCTCGACTTTTTATTCTAATAAATATGTTCCTTATCTGTTCAGAGCCGTACTTATCTCGAAATATGTCAAAAATTCACTTGCACCCTTTTTATTCTAACCTCTTCAATTGTAAATGATAAAAATCATTATTTTAATGTAATATGGACCCGTGTACATCATGCTTGACTGTCCGCTCAGTACGGTGAATTACCTTATTCAAATCTAAAAGTGGGAAACCACGCTCAAAAGTGGATGATGTCTAGAAGGAGCTTAGATTTAGTTAATTTGATTGGTGATATCGTCGAGTATCAATACGAAATTACCCCAGGTGAGTAGAGTTATACACTCAGAATCTCACACTGAGCAATCAGTCAGCCTCATGGATTCTGGGGGAGGCAAATATTCGACTGAATCTAATAAGAAAAACTACCCACCATTGCTTCGTATAGCCACTTACAATATAAGAATTTTGAGGACCCAAGAACACCTTGACGAACTAGAACAAGAGCTCTCAAATATCAAATGGGATATAATTGGACTGTGCGAAACTCGCTTACCAGGAGAAGCATGTACCATCTTAAAATCTGGTCACCAACTATACCAGAAAAACTCCGTAGAAAATCATCACATAGGCGGTTGTAGCGTTCCTAGTAAACAAACGAACTCCCTATAAAATAACGAAGTACTGTGCTGTATCAAACAGTCATATATCTTGTCATCGCTTTAAACAGCAGATACAGCTTACAGATAATACATGGATATGCACCGACGAGAAACTCAACAGACGAGGAAGCTGAATCATTCTACGAGGATCTGACAACAGCAAGGAACCAAGAAAAATCACACTTCGTAATAATCACAGGAGATTTTAATGCAAAAATTGGTACAAAAGAAGACGGCGACACACAATATATCGGTCGCTTTGGGCTGGACAACAGGAACGAAAGGGGTGAGATGTTGTACAACTACTTAAACAACGAAAATTTATTTTGTCTCAACACTTTCTTTAAAAAATCTAAACAACGTAAATGGACATGGATCAGCCCAGACAAGAAAACTAAGAACGAAATAGACTACATACTCTCCAATAACAAAAACATATGCACCGACGTGACAGTACTAAACAAATTCTATACCGGGAGTGACCATAGATTGGTTAGAGCGAACATTAAAATACAGACGAGAGTAGAACGAAGCAAACTTATTAAACGAGAACGATACCCAACCACCGATGTCCTGTCTCAAAAACAAACGGAATACCAAAAAGAACTAAGCACAAGACTAAAATCAATAGAGACACTGAAACAATTGGATATAAACGGACTAGCCACTAAAATAAAAGTAACTGTAACAACATCGGTTAAGAAAATATGCTCAAACACGAAAACAGCCAAAACATCTAAACTCCAACCTAATACAATTAAACTACTCCAAGAAAGACGAAACAGAACAGATCGAACTTCGGACAGCTTTAAAAGTTTAAACAAAAATGTGAAGAAAGAAATCAGGAACGATCATAGAAACTATAATAACAATCTAATAAAAAATATAATACAAGATAACTGCAACATGAAAGTACTCAAAGCAAAAAACTCAAGCGGCACAACAAAAATCATAGAAATAAAAA